GGGGGTAGTGCAGGGTGGAAGGGGTCAGTGGGGTAAAAAGGGGACATCTGTAATACTTTCGACAATAAAGATAAGTTTAAAAAAATAATAAAAGGGGGGGGCTGACAACCAAACCATTGCTGACAGCCACATACTTTAATTCAGGAGAGCATCTCAAAGGTCTTTAGAGGGCACCCAGGACCAAAAGCAATGGTGCTGAGCACTTCTGAAAAGTCCTTTGGAAAACTTTTTAAGAAGCAGGGGAAGGTACCAGAGGAGACACTTTTCAAAGCAGATTTTTTATTTTCAAACATAGAAGCCTGAAAGAGCAGGATTCCTTCACAAACGACATCTTCTTCAAAGAAGAAAATACTGCTTTTCAAGGGCTCTCTTGGCACTAATGATTGACATTGGGTGATTTTAATTCTGAAATATCCGCCATCATAAAGGAAAAGTATGGCATCCAAGGGTGAAGCTTCTAATTTTCTGTAGATTGGAGGAGAAGGGAAGCTAAAATATTATGTAAAATGGGCTTAAGTAATTCATGGCCCCCAGCTCATCAGAGGCTGTTTTGCGCTATTGCAGATGATCACGCCTGTGTTTGTACTGATGGAATTTCCCTGATAAGAAAGGCTCCAGATGGGCAATGGCACCAATCAGCAATATTTCTTGGGGGTGCAGTTCCACTGATGCCAGCCACAGGGGAGACACTTAAATCCAAAATTTCTCACTCCTTGTAGGAAATATTCTTTGCTGTCTGCCACATGAAAATAGACGGGAACTTTGTCCCGGATGAGATGCTCTGCTACGTGATAACAAATTTGCCACATTTTGCCTTGCCGTCGGTGTTCGGGGACAGTGTAAGCCATCCTTATCTCACAGGACTGTTCCATCACGACCCAAGAGACGAGGCTGCCCTCTGGATCCAGCACACCAAATCCGTGTATGTGCTGGAGGCAGCGTTCAACATATTTCAAGCTCCTCTCATTTTTCCCAAAGTCCCAGTGCTCATTCACAAGCCCCGCATGGGAGGGGTCCAAGACAATGCTCAGGAAGTTTCCTTTCCTGTCAAGAACAGAGAGAGGAGCATTTATCCAGCCACCGTTTACCAAACGCCGGGATTGCAGGACGTGAACATGACACCGTTCCTTTTCTTGAGGGTCCCACGGCCTAGAGGGGGACCCAGCTGCCCAGAAAAGGTGCCATTTCTATGTCTGTTTCAGAATCATCCCAAATCATCGCGAGGGAGAAAATCCAAATCGCTTTATGATGCAGAAAGTGCACCTCAAAAAAAGCCCAAGCAAATATCTGAGGAAGAATAAAACGAGCTGACGTTCTTAAAATAGCGAAGACGTGCACCAGGGCAACCTCCCATGCGGCTGAATTTTCTTTGAAGATCCACATGAGAAACACATGGGTTCTGAAATCTACTCCACAAAATATCTAAGGATACACGATAGTATTTCTTTGATATTTGAATAAAACATCTGTCACAGGAAGATGAGAGTGACGCTAACCTCACAGCTTCCTGTATCCCAAAGCCCATCACCACATACCTCTAGGGAAGTACCAAAAATGCCGTTTAAGGACCACCCATGGGGGGGGGCTGGATATGGGGGCGGTAACGATCGGGACTTTAATCCTGGTTCTCTCAATGGGTAAGTTATCTGAAACTGAGTGTTCTCATCTGCGAAATCAGAACGACATCCTCTGTGGGTAGGGGAGGCTGGGGCAGGTGGCAGATCCCAAAGAAGTTTCAGCCCCCCCCCAGAGTGGAAGAGTTTTCAGGAACTTGTGGGTCTCAAAGGCGCTCTGAGTTAGCTGGCGAGGGGGCTCCCTGGGCACTGCCGTGTCTGCTCGCGGCTGAGGCTTTCTTTCCGCTCCCTCCCGCGCCTGGCCTGGCCCTAGTCCTGCTTCCTCAAAGGCCTGAAGCCTGGTCACCTGCCTGCCCCTGGGGTGTAACTGGGCATCTGGAAGCACAGCTGGACCAAAGCAAAGTTGGAGCACTGTTGGCTTTCCCATCTAAACCAATTCTGTGTGCGAGTGGGAATTTAGATTTTAGTTTTTCCTTTGAATTAGTAATACTATTATGGAGCATAGATGGATATTAATTGAAAACAATTACTTCCTTTCTCTGATCCCCTACAACCCAGTTACTTTCTCTGGAAGCAGCTAGTTATGCAATATATTTATGTAACTTTCTAGAAGTATTCTATGCAATTCCAGATGTGTGCATACTGTGATAGTATGCTGTGTACAATGTTCTGTCCATCTGATTAGTCTTTTCTTTTTTTTCCACTTAGCAGTATATTTCTGAATTCTTTTCTTATCAGTTCACATAGAGATGCTTCACTCTTATTAATAATTGTATATTATTCCAGTGTTTGGATTATACCTTAATGAAGTCATTCATGTCCCTACTGGGGACCCTTTAGGTTGTTTCATATTTTATGCTATCACATATTAAATTCATCAAAGTCTTACTATCCAATTTGGTAATATCTTCATTTAACATACATATTTTTTATCCAACCATTGCAATGCTTGGAGTCCATCTTTCAGAAATATTTTTACAACTTGTGCAATGATCTATGTATGAAGACGTTTATTACAGAATTTTTGTTATTAGGAAAAACTTGCAATAAATCAAAAGTGTGTTAATATGGGAATATATAATTATGTATCTCCCTATTATAGAAATCTATGCAGCTGTCAAAATAAATGTAAGATATCTGTGTGAGTTTACATGAAAGATGTATAAAACATATTGCTGAGTGAAAAAAGTAAGCTGCAGTACAGTATGTGTGTACATTGTAAAAAAAAAAAAGAAAAGAAAAAATAAACAAAAACGCACATAGTACTAAAAGCATATGCACCAGTGTTAAGAATGTTTACACCTGGACAGGAAGATTGTGGAGAATCCAAGTGGCCAAACTTCCACTTTGAATACTTGTATACTTTGTAAACCATGTAGCATTTTTGCCAAAAGTAATAGTTTTAGTAAAGATTTTTCAGTGCCACCATGAGGTCCCATACCCTCCCAGGAGTCCTTTTGTGAGACCTGAGTGAATATTTGTACAGGACCTCACCTAATGAAAGCCCTGCCCATGCTCAGCAAACGAAGCTCCCTTCCTTTACCCATGCAACCATGTACCCCATTATAATTCAGCCTCCGATCCTACATTTTCAAGTTGGGCCCTTATGGCAACTGAGTGATTCTATCAGAAATTTGGGAAGCAAAAAAAGTAAAATCTCACTTGCTATCTTCATCCATTTGGGGCATTTTAGTTAGTTCCTTCATATCCATATTGCCATCACTTGATATCTTGAATTTCTCTGATATATCTAACGTAAAGAGCAGGGTCTTCGTGTAATCCACCTGCACTGATTTTGAAGCTGAAACCTTGGTTATTGCCTCAGCCAAGCTCCCTTGGCAACCTGAGAGAGGAGAAAGACAGGCTCTGATCACCCAGTCTGGATCTGTGAATAGGCCAGGGGGTCTTTGCCTCTTATCTCATACCAGTTACCTTGGATCTGGAAGGCTTGTTCCCAGTTTATAACCTGGGAACACGCCAGGACGTCCTCCAAGTTGTCAGGAGCTTTGGTGAAGATGTGGTAAGTGTTGGTATAGTGATCCAGATCATCTTTCATCTCCTGATACAACAAATATCAGTCAAGCTTACATAGCACTATAATTTACCAAATGTTCTTGCATAGGTCTGGAGTGCTGGAGACGTGCTTGCATGATACCCCCTTTTTCTGAGAGAAAGGTGGCCTTGGGATCCCTTGAGGAGCTAAGTCACGACTGACACACTGAAGGTGTCTCCTTTCTGATGGCGCATGAAAGTGAGCTGCCCCGGGAGGCTGCATAAGTAGCTCTGTTGCCAGGGGTGGAAGGGGCACCAGGATTAGATAAAGTCTAAAGGAGAGAGTGCCTCCAGCATGGAAAGAAGTGTACGGAACGGGGGTGGGGGTCAAGATTCTGAGCCTGTGAGGAGACAATGCCTAAGCTAACTCTGACCCAGCGCTCTGGGGCTGGCATGGTGCTTGACTCTTGGTGTGCCTGTTATAAAGGGGACTTCGAGACAGACCCACCATGCCCGAGCTCACAGCAGCACCTGGAGTAGGGGCCAGGTCTGCCACTGCTTACTTTTTGCTGCTGACACTCTCCTGGGGGTCTTGGGGGCCCCTGCAGGTGCTGTTGTGTTCTAATTCACCTGCTTACTACGTAAATAGAGAGGGTAAAACATCCCTAGTCTGAGATGAAAGGCACTCACTGCTTATACTCCCCAAACCTGGGAGATGGGGAAGATATTCTAATTAAATATACGCGATTGATCTATTGTTTAACAATTCCCTCACATAGCAATTTGATCAACTTTACTTTTTAAAGAATGGACTAGGTGGGATCCTAATGTTATTTACAAGACATGAGCTACTCGCTGTTTGGTCTATCCCCATGCTTCAACTCACTGTCCTACCTTCTCCCCCAAGCAGCCTTTTCAAAACCTGTATGAACCAGGGATGTCCAGGCTGTTCTCTCCAGCCCCTAGCTCCAGTTCTCTCACTTCCACGCAGAGGACATCCAGAGTATGACTGCCTGGTATTCAGTAGCTTGAGCTCTCACCTCTTTCTTAGGCCGAGTAATGACTATCTGATAATCTGGCCAGGCATCCACCAGCACCTCCAGGTTGAATGGGTTTTTATTTTTAATGTGAAATATGGCACCATATACCTACAAGAGCAATAGAACAAAACAGGAGAGGAAGTTCTTCTTTGAGGTAGGGTCTTGGATGTGGTTTGGGAAATAAAACCAGGAGTTAGGAAGACTGAAGGGATAGAATCAGGGCTCCCAGAATGGCTCATTGGGCTATTTATTGTAAGATATGCTGCAAAATGGCGCAGTCAGGGCCCACAAAAATCCAAGTTAATAGTTGAATAATTAGGAACTGGGTCCCTTGACATTCATTCATTCATTTTTTTTTTAATTCATAGCATATTTTCCCATTTTTTTCATTTGATACCATACCATGTCATTTATTGGACATCTATTATATATCAGATGTGTGTCAAAGCATAGAGAATTTCAAAGGTGAGCATAGTATGGCCACTTCCTTCAAGTTAAGTCTGGAAGGGGAGAGAAATACATAGTCTGGTCATAACAGGACATATGTTCTGATATATGCATGCGGTAGTGTGGCGTCCCAAAGGGGAAGTGGTGGGAGACTGAGAGAAGAAGTAATATTGGAATTGAACCTTGAAAGATAAGAAAAGTTCTTTCCTGGCAAACTATAAAGAGAAGGAGAAAAAGCATGAATGAGTGGTTGAAGGTGGAGCAGATTACATCCTACCTGCTGAACTGTGAGCCGCTCAATAATTGTAGCATGCGGCATATGGCAGGGGAATGTTGGGAGATGGAATAGAAGAGGTTGGGTCATTTTTTGATAAACCTTTGTATACCCAGTTAAGGATTATGGACTTTATGCTGTGGACATGGACCTCTGCTGAAATTTTAAAACAAGAGAGTGATATGAATATATTTATTCAGAGAGATGACTCTGCTGACCAAGTTGCAGGTGGGATGGTAATATTGAAAATAGGAAGATACTGCAATAGCTTGGAGCAAAAAAAAAAAAAAGAAGAAGAAGAAGAAGAAAGAAAGAAAATCTATTAGAGATAGCAATCCAGTGATTTTAAAAAATATTTAAAGGCTGAAGGTAGGTGAATGGATATGGCTATTAAGATCATCCCTGAAGAAGGAATCTGACTTTGAACTTGTACTTCCATCCACCCAGGAAAGGTTCTGAGCCCTGAATTTATCCGCCTCCCATTTCAGCCCTCTCTTCCAACCACCACCCACTACTCCCTCACCTTAAAGGACTCAGGGATGCTCTTTTCCAAGGATTCATAAAGCATCTGCAGCTTCTGGGGTTCATTAATCACAAACATCTTGTGTATCACCTCAGCCCCTTTCCTTCAGGAAGATGACCTGAGGAAACAAACATACAAAGAGAAAAGCCTGGAGACATGAGGCAGGTGTCTGGGAAGAAGATAAAGGAGGAGTCACCTAGTTCACCACACACCACCAGAGGCAAAGGGCTTTAGAAATGCTCTAGGCCAAACCTTTCATCTTACAAACAAGAAACCAAAGCCCAGAGCTGCAACTGGACCTCAGGTCTCCTTGGTGATTTCTCTGCAATTCCAAGGTAAGCACCATTAGTATATCTGGTGGAACAAGTCTCCAAAAGCCCACTTGATTCAAGTCAGGCCAAGAGCCTGAGAGGTGACTGTCTTCAGCTGTTCAGGTGCAAATGAAGAATAAGGGTATCTCTTCAAGACACTGTGCCCAGGGACCATGAAGGCCCCCAGGCATTGAAACAGGTGCTTTAACATTGCCATAGCATCAGCGGTATTTTTCAGCCATCATGAGAGAATGGAATTTTCTGGAAAAGATCTTGAAGACCATATTGTGTGTAGTGCCTTTCTTCTAAGGAACAAAATCATAGGAGGGAAAATTGTGGATTAGCAGTGATACTACCCAAGTATAAATTGGCAAAATCTAGGTATCACATTCTAGTAATCTTAAAAACAGAATAAACCTTTTTATTCAAGAATTCTACTTCTAGACACTCATCCCAAGAGAGAAAATGATAGATGTCTATAAAGGTATAAACCCAAGGAAATCCACTGTAGTGTTATTATGTTGTAAATTGAGAAATGATCCAACATCTATTATAGAGAAATGGTTAAATTAATGATAGTATGTCCAAATGAGTTGTCAGGCAGCCATTAAAATGCTGTCTTCAAAGTGTATTTAATGACATAGGAAAAGTCTATGTTATAAAGTCAAGAAAGCATGTGATATAATCCAAAAGTAGTAATATAAAAATGGACAGGTAGATGGTCATCTGTGTATATGTGCATGTTTGTACACCCACCTCAAAGTTTTTCTGAACTTTATTAATCAGGTACTCATTCTATTAATAAGGTACTCATATGAACATTTTTCTAATATTATAGACATAAATATCTGACAATCTATAATTATACAATATATATTTACATCAGGTATACCTACCTAATCAAGGTATCTATGATACTCAAAGACATTATATAAAAGTAGCCATATTTTTTAAAATCCAAAAATACAAGAAATTCAAAGCAATTCTGATGGCTTCATTTCCCCCCCAATCATAACAATCCTGGAAAATCCAGCACGAGTACATGTGAGTGCGCGCGTGTGTGCGTGTGGCCAGAATCAAAACAAAAGGAAGCACAGCGATTAAGAACATGTTTTTTAGAGCCAAACTGACTAGGACTCAAACCTTGGCTCCTCTGCTTGCCAGCTGAGTCACTTCAGGTAGGTCACTTTACTTGAATCTCTCTGAGCTTTACTCTTCATCTATAAAATGGGGATAATCATGCCTACTCTGTAGGTTGTCCTGAGGATTACAGCCAGTCACAAAATGTATGTGAAGTGTTTGGTGTGATGATAGATGGTGTATACCTATGGTCTGAGGGAAATGCTCAAGACCCTCAAATCTAATCAAGGGGATCATTCTCTAGGACAGGAACCCAACTGAAGGCAGCTACAGCTTCAAAGATGGTGCTATACATACCTTGTAATCTATTCACATGATATTGATGTTTGGAGGCAAACCACAGCTCCTGGACAAGCCAATATGTTTCCTGGGTATGCTAACCATTTGGTAGATAATTCTGCTTATTTTTTTCCAGGACTTTAGTAGCATATTTTCCCAGAAGAGTGTCATTTACTTAGAAAGTGGGACCATGTCTTATCCCTCCTTACAGCTCAAGCATCCAGCACAGCCCTTGGCCCAGTGTGGATAGACATCAATGAACTTCTGTTCCATGAATGAATGAATGGAATCAGTGAGGTATAGAGATGGAGCCCTTGGGATATTTTCTTTGCTTTGGTTCCAGACATAGTCAACTTTCTGAGGAAAATGTGGCTGCTAATAGAAGCTTTCAAATAAGAAAATGTAGGTTGTTCTGAGCACCTTGCATCAGATGTATAAGATGTAAGGGGATGCATTGAAAAGGGATGGGGGAAAGGTTGTGCATAGCTTTGTTCCCTGCTGCCACTTGCGATCATCCATAGCAGTGCTCTCCCGCCTCTCTGCCGTATTACAACCACTAACCTCCATAGCACCACCCTGGCTCACCTCCCACCAATTAGAGACATTTATTTTCAACTCACCTTGAGGCCTTCTGGCAGTAGAATTTTTCCGAATTAACCTGATCCAAAAGAGAATCTGTTACGATCATCCATAAGAATAAGTTTGAAGAATATAAATGTTTAACAAGATCTGAGAGGAAGAGGGGCCAACAGAGGAGACTGAGAAAGAGTGATCAAAAAACAGTGTGAAAAATAAGAGCAGTATCTCAGAAGTCAAAACAAGAGAAACTTTATTTAAAGGAAAGATTGATCAGAGAAGTCAAATGCTGCTGAGAAGCCAAGAGAGATGAATACTAAGAATGGCATTGCATTTTGGAGTTCGGAATTGATTTTTGATTTGGTGAGAGATATGTCCTGGAATGATGGAGGAAGAAATCCAGGTTAAAGGGATTAGACAATAAATGAAATGTGAGGAAATGAAGATAAGTCTTTCAAAGAGCTTCACCAGGAAAAGAAGAAGCTATGCAAGAATGAAGGGGAAGGTGGAGGGTGCAGGAGCTCAGAGGAAGGCATTTCTGATTAGATGAGAGAGATAAGCACACTTATGTTAACTACAGAGAGCAGATAAGATGGACAGTAACTGATGGGCCAATGGATATAACAAGAGATGGAAAGGGGAAAGAAAAGTAGCTAAATCTATGGACAAGGCAATGTTTCAAATCCTTTATGTTTAGTAATTCATTTCACCTTCTATCACATCTCTAAGTGTAGGCATTGGGATCAGTTTTGGACAGGAAGCATACTTCTTCTGCATGATGGGGGGAAAAAATTTTAGTTTAGGTGCGGATATAGGTATATGTGTGTGAGTACTTGAGGTTAGAAGAAAGAGCAGGAAGTTGACATGTTAGCTTTGAATATCTATTTTCTGGAAGAAATAGAATGGAAAGCCATTGTTTGGAAGTGAGTAGAGTGAGAGAGTGCACCAGAGAAGAGAAGAGAGAAAAAGAATAGAGTTTTAACGGAAAAGATTAAAGGTTGAATGGCTTTCGATGCCAGCTGGAGAAAATGCAGACCAGGAATACACAAAGAAAGTGATTGCCAGGCATTGCTTAGGGTCAAGTGGAAAACCATCCGTTGGGAGTTGAATTCATCCGCATGAGTGAGCTCAGCACCCGGAGACCAGAAGAAGAGGAGACAAGTTGAAATGGACCAGGGTTAAATTTTCCCCAGGTTCAGAGCATCAAGTAAGATAAGGGGCAAAGTTTTTGAGAATAAGGGAATGAGACACTTTAAACTGGAATCTAGGGAAAAAAAGGAAGTAAACTAGGAGGGGGACTACTCAAGTGGGGAAAGGTGAAGAGAGCAGGGATAAAAGCACTTTATGAGGTCAAAGAATAGCAATGGTGATAGACAGGGGGACTGTATTCAGAGAATAGGAGATTGGCATCAGAAATTAGGCTATTAGAGGTTAGGATTTCAGAAGTAAATCAGCTCAAGTTAATAGAGAAGGAGTCAATAAGCGAATGGGTGTTGCAAGTGTCGTAGAAATCACCAGGATGTGACAGGAGTTTAGTGGAGAGAAACATTTGTGAGCCGGGGGCCAAATACATCAATGACTAGAGACAAATTTGTCAGAGCAACAGGAAAGGGTAAAACTTCATCTTAGCCACAAGGGACAGCATTCAAAAAAGGAAGAGTTTGTCTATGCAAATGGACAAATAACACTTTAGAACCATGGACTGAAGGCCAGGAGGATGCGTATCCTGTCTTCACTCGCAGTGTTGCTCTGGGTGTCTGGGGGGTGGCAGGGAAAGGTACACACATTATCAGTAATTTATAGCTCAAGGAAAGGATATGGACAGCTTATCAGTTCAAAAATAGCACATGCTGGCTCTGTAGATTTTAAAGTACTTTCTAGCTCCAGGGACCTACACTTTTTTGAAGAATTGGTTCTCAATATTGGGCTCTGGTGAGTGCTCCTTCCAAGAGTTTGCAGGGAGAAAGAAAACAGATTAACAAATACAAATTCTTTTTTTTTCGGGGGGGGGTTCTACAGACTTATTTTTTTCTTCTTGTTTTGCCTTTAAATTATTTTCATACCCCTCCCCCAGAGATAATCATTATTCTGACTTCTATAATCATCAATTATTTTTGCCCATTCATATAAATGAAATCATACATTATATATCTTTTGTGTATGGTTTCTCTGTCAATGTATTTTTTATAGTTATCCATTTTGTTGTGTGCATCCATACTTCTTTTTTTTAGTGTTATACAGTGTTCCACTGTAGGAGCACCCACAATTCATTTCTCCATTCACCTGTTGATGAGTATTTGTGTTGACTTTAAATTATTTTTTATTTTTCAATTTCAGTGGACATACAATATTTATTAGTTTCAGGTGTACAACCCAGTGATTAGATATTATATAATTTACTAAGTGATCATCCCAATAAGTCTTGTACCCATCTAACACCATACATAATTATTACAATATTATTGACTCTTTAGAATCAAAGGACATTTGAAGAGCTTTCCAGACAAGAAAAAGCTAACAGAGTTCATCACCACCAAACCAGTCTTCCATGAAATGTTAAGTGGTCTTTTTTAAGGAGAAGGGGGGGGGGATATCAAGAATATCAAAAATATGAATAATAAAGTGACAACAAATACCTATCTATGAACAACTGAATCTAAAAAATAAATAAATAAGTAAACAATAAGAACAGAAATAAACTCATAGACACAGAGAACATTTTGACAGTTGTCTCCTGGGAGGAGGGTTGGGAGATTGGGTGGGAAAAGTAAA